TAAATTGACCGTAGCACTGGACAAGGTTTTCTTTTTAAGGGAGTCTCTACATGCAAGTAGTTTACCCTCCAATCCCAGGAGCATGTGTGAGGCTCAAGTGACTGGACCTGCTGTCAGGCATACAGGAACAGTAGTTTAATGAGGCACAAGACTCAAAAGAACATGGGTCTTCGCATTTGCTGTTCAACACTTGTCTTAATTACAGGTGAAGGACCTAGCAAGTGCAAGCCCACAAGAAACAGGAGTAGAAAACAGCTGGGGGAGCTTGGGAGGGACAAGAGAATGAAAGCATAGTTCTGAATTTTAATAAGCCAGAATCTCAAAATTAGTATTAATGAAGAAGTTTTCCGAGTACAACTGGGGAGACTAAATGTATAAGGCAGTAACAGTCCACAAGCAGACTGGGTATGTCCTGTTACCAGCCAGATTCACATTAGTACACCAAACGTTCATTCGTATCTGGGCTGAAAAATTTCTTTCTGTGCTCAGATAAGATAGGTAAAAACATTTTACGTTGTATGTAAATGCAAGTTAAAGGGTACACTAAAATGTAACCTTTAAACTTCGCAATGTACAGCACACCACTTCCTGTTCAGAGATAGCACTCCAAGATCAATTAATCATGGCTAAGACGAACAAACGGTCAACGTTCTTAATTAGTGTTGATGCATTCTCCTCTGTGCCCTCATCTGTCATGAAGACTGTTTAAAAATCTGAGTTATTAGTCTTTATTGAGGAGTGGATCTGGTTAACATCTCCAAGAATAGAAATCATTCACCCATCCACTATACACTGGTACCTGATAATTCCTACCCCCCATATAAGCTACAGATAACCGCCGCCCTAAGACAATCTTGGTAGCTATAAATCAAAATGAGTGTAGCTCCCATGCAACCCGGGTTAATTTTTGTTTACAATATATCCACTGAAAATGCTGGTACGACACTTGAGGAGTCTGCCTATAGATTAGTGCAGAGGAAAATACATAAAGTAGTCAAGGCAGGAAGGAAAGAAACACATCAGTCAAACGAAGCATAGTAAAATCTAATTCACACTAACAGCTAGAAGACGCATTGCGACTACTGAACTTTGTCAATACCAAATTTAAGCAAAGATCCTAAGTGCACATAGTACAATTCATTCACTTGGTAACTATAGTTCCATTTATCCTATACAATGTAAGTCAAAGTATTTGACAGCAACACTTCTATAAAAGTTTGAAGTTATTGCATTCAAACTCAAAAGCATTTGTTAATCTTAATAAGGTTTACTCCCTTATTTCTGGTGCAAATGAAGTGATATTAGCAACACAGAAACACGCACATTTCAAATATACTTCTATTAAATAAGATTAAAATACCACAAAGTAAGTTGCAAGGAAAGTTAAGATTCAATGCCAGCTTTAAGTTTTAGGACTATTAAGATTTTATGACTCGCAATTAATATGAAAAAAAATCTACATTAAATTTTACATTTCCTTTTATTGTTTACCAAATGCACAGACAAAAATCTACGGAAAGACAGAGAATTAACTGGTAATTGGACATAAGCGCAGGAAGCAGGTCTGGGCAACATCTTGACTCAAATCAGTTTTCTACTCTCTGACCAAATGTGTAGGCCAGGCTATGGAAAAAAAATGTACGGGAAAGAACGAAAAATAAAACTAAGCAACCAGGAGGAAGACAGTCACCTAAAAGAACCGCTTTCACAAAGGAGGACTGCATCTCCACAGCTCTTGTTCTCCCAATTATTTCTAATAAATTAGTAGGCAATGACAGACCTTAACTTCAGCAAGTCCTGAAGAAAAAAAAAAGGGGGAGGGGGGGGGACGGGGACAAAGAAAAAAGAGGGGTGGGAAGGTCCAGAATTTAGGAGATCTCAACTCGTACTACTTTACTAATAAATTTCTGATGGATGAGAGACTGGAGACTGATTGGAACTTTGTACGTAGAAATTACCTTCCCAATGTTTCACAAGTAAATCTTAATCTCTTACAGACACAAAAGGACATTTTAATAAATTGCCACCACTCTGAAGTTAATTATCATGCTTTAAACAGACACATAGTAGCTTACTTTATTCGTGCTTCCAATCTATTGCAACGTGCAATAAAATAGAATAGTCAAAACTAGCACTAATGCATTTAAACTAGCACTGAACAGTTTCTTTAAGTTTGGTGGCATACTGAAGAAATTCCTGCAAACTTAATACATTTAACAGATAGACTGCAAATGGATACAAAAAAGCAATTAATTATGCAGTTTTATAGACAATTTAACAGCTAGTACACAATTATGCACTATATACTGCTATACCTGAAGTAATTTCAATGACAAAATTATCCAGGGAAATAATTTTCATCTAATAGGATTCATGTGTACAGTTTTCTGTATTTCATTGTGAAGGAAAATATTTTTCATTGTTTTCTTCCAAGTTTTTTTTTTTTTAAACTATAGCTTTATTCCTACTTCTGAAATACTACAGCAGAGATCCCAGGTGTATGTACCACAAAACGGAAAAATACACATTTCTTTCAGACAGTATTAGTAAGTGCAAATGGTCAAATGAGAGCCTAAGCTAAAGCTAAGTATACTTAAGAGTAGCACCAAATTCAGGCCAAGGTTCAAAAATGGATGGTTCCATCTGGGTTTCCAAATTCTTATCTAGGTATCTAAATAATGGCCCAATGCTTTCCAGTTGCTATGAATGAAAATAACTGCATTTTTGGCAATTTTTAAAAAGTTTTATCAGGAAAAGTTCAGTGTTAGAATAACTTGCCTGTGGATATTGACATTTCTACTCTTTAAGTAAGCATACCTGGATGTTTTCCTAAAAGACATGTATAGCTTAAAAACCAAGTACAATCCTGAAACAGAAACTACTAACTGAAAGTATTTCTCCTGTATGACACATGAGAACAAATAAGTTCATCAATTCATCAAATGGCTTTTCTTGGCTTTAAACCTATTATTGCTCTTGCATTGTGTACAAGCGTCTCGTCACTTACCAAGTAAAGAAGTTGAGCTATTCGGAACACAGTGATTCCACCTGAAGAATCTGTTAGTACTGGTGGCTTTATCCTTTCATAATAAGCAAGCATCAACACCATGCTTCCATATAAACACTCACCTCGTTTTCTATTTATGTAACAATAGGACCCTGACTACAGTTACCTCTCACAGGCTACTAAAGTACTGAAGTGGAAGCCCTCCTAAATATTGATCTCCTGTTACAGAATTCACAAAAGCAATACACTTCTAAAAGCTTAATTTTTATCACACTGAAATAAAAATAAAGGAAAAATAATTACCTCTGTAAGCAGCATCCCCTGCATGCTCGATGTGCAACAATAACAAACATCCTTAGGATGACCTGAAAGCAACATTTTGCTTTTTTTCTTTATACACAGCTTCTGAAGGAAAATTATGTAGCAAGCACACTGCTCCTTCAGCTGCTATTTTTGTAAAAATGAAAGCCCTTTCACTAGTTAGTGGGAGCCTTTATCTGGAAACTCACCTACAAAACCATATTCTATTTGCAGATGCTCCCAAGGAAAGAACTGCAGGCATGTATATGAGAAAAATGCATATACGTAAGGTATATAATAGAGACAAAACTCTTTCAAATGGAAACCAGTGTCTGATTTTATACTTCTGTGGTGTCATCCCAGAAAAAAAAAATTTAACCTATGTTACTGTGTATCTTACAGTAAATATTTCATAAGATTTGCAGAACTTCAGCTAGGAAGTCCAATTTTGGGGCAAAATATAAATCAGTGAAAAATATTTTTCATTTGAATTTCAACAGAATGTGTATTATTGACTCCAGTCTGCTAGAGTACAACACTGTCTATGTTATGCTTTCAGAGGTGCTATTTATATATTGTAACTCTAAGAGCTTCTCTGTTTTCTTCCCAGAAAATAAGTAGTCTTTCATAATTAATATCATAAAAATGTCACGGCATCACAGTAGCAACACTGCAGTTAATGGTTCTGAATGAAAGCATTGTCTCTAAATTGTTTTTAAATGGTGTTAAACAATACTAACTCGCTAGATGAGGTCTTTTTTTCAGGTTTGTTCATGATATAAACATTGTGACATGGACATAAATTACTTGGAAAGTCAAACAAAAAAAATCAAATCTGTTCTCTGTTGTTCAAAAAATCATATTCACATGGTTAAAAAAATCTGTAGCTGTTTGCACTACCTTATTTCTAAAATCGCTTTATGTTGCTTTTATCTTCTTCAATAGAAAAAGGGTAAGAGATCCAGGATCAAGACCTCAGATATGTTAATAAGGACGTTTCTATAAGATTTCTTAGCTGGAAATGGAGGAATTTGGAATCCATCTAATTAGGAAACTAACTAGGTTATAGTTATTTAAAGCGGCATATTTTGGTGTCAGAAGAGTAAGTGTATCATACTTACGTGACCAAAAACAGGATAGGTTAAAAAAATCCCAGAGCAACTGGAAACATGTAACCTCATGTGCAAAACTACAGATAGCATGCAAAAAAAAAAACCTAATAAGCAACTCATAAACATTATGCCTACTGCACAGTGTAGTTATTTTCAATAACATATACCAGCGCTTAATTTAGCACTCTCTTAACATACAGAATCATGAAATATACCTGTTATTAGATCCAGGAATGCTTCCCAGTTCTCCATTCTAGACGCTTGCCATGGCTATATCCTGAAGCCCTATCAAATTCAAACATGGGTGAGAGAGATCTCTCTACTCCTGCGTGCTGCTCCCCAAGTAAAGAAAATACAGGCAGAGAGGCTGCAGGCTAGGCAGAGCATGATGCAGCATGTCCCTCAACCTAACTGCTCAGAACCAGAATCCTGAGGTACATCCAGATATGTCATCGGTACACAGCAACAACACACAAGACTGTTTAGTTTCATTTTACTAAAGATACATGCCATGCGCCATTTCTTCAATAGAGAGTAACATCCAGAGTATTTCAATTAATATTCAAGCATGAATAACTTACTTTTATTTCCAACCAAGGCCACAAGTGGCGGTGTTTCTGATTCTTCGTTCATTTTTTTTACCACATTATACCAATCTTCTAAATTTTCAAAGCTCTGGCTGTTGGTAATATCATAAACCAAGAGAATACCCTAAATAAAAAGATATATTTACAAAGTTACAGGTCATAAAAATATTTGAACATGGTAAATGTTTCATCAGTCTAAATTATTATTAACATAAAACAGAGCATTAACAAATAATGACATTGTCTCCTTTGAGGAATAATCAAAGTAATTATAAGCTTCTGTAATAAACACATTTTATTACAGTATGTCTCCTGCATTCCATGCATTCCAAATTCAGACGCTAACTCAACTACAAGGGCAGAAAAAAAATGACAATTCAGTAAAGAGCACAATTAATTAATTACAAATACTACAAATATTATTTTTAGTTTCACTGTTCCCTTTTCGAAAAAAATGAAAAAGCAGTTCAATCGTACATTTCTGCACACCGCCTGACTGTTGCCTCTCTGCTCTCCATGGGGAAGAAAGGCCAGATCCCTTCCTCCACTGTTGTACAAGACAAGCAAGAAGTACCGGCAAGCTTTACGCTTTCAAAGGAGAAACTAAAAACGTGATCAGAAGTTAAAAAGAAGGGAGTCCCATGTATTTCAGAGGTTTTGGGCCAGGCTAAAAGTAGCAAATACTCAAAACAGACTTTACTGAGGATTCCTCAGAGCTATTATCTAATATTGTAAAGCACAGCCTGTAAACAGGCCAAACATCCACCTTCTCCTCTCCATAATTCTAAGATCAGCTCTCCCAAATCAGTCTCCTCTCAATTACTGAGTCTTCTGCACCTGCTTTCCACTACACCCTAATAAACTAAGTACCTTGTAAATGAGGAATAAAGTCAGAATTAGCTTCTGTTGCACTTGTTGTCCTGGTGTTCACATCTAGAACTCACTGTTCCTCACATGAAGTTTTCACAAATATTAAAAAAAAACCAAACAAATACAATGCATACAAAATTAGCTGGTACAATGAGCCACTGCAAATAGGAAAGATTTTTTCAAATAAAGGCTTTTAGGCATTTGTCTGCGCTGAACTTGACTTGATAGTTTCACGAGGAGTGTCTTACATCATAAAACAGAGTACACACTTATGAAATTAACTTGATGACAACAAACAGGTAGAGACTGCAAGGTTATTTGAGGAGAGTTTAGATTATATGATGAGAAACAAACTAATAGGATGCAATTCAATGCGTACCATGACAAGTTCAAAGGGAGCAACAGTCTACTGCACAATAGGAAACATCTGGCTTTGTAGCAAGTTCTATGCAATAGGATCAAGGAGTTCTAGCACATCACAGCTGAACATGTCAAGCTTATTTTGTAGCAAAAAGGCAAATATCACACTGGCATGAAACATTCCAGATGAAATAATGCATCCAGTTTTGGACACTGAATGTCAAGAAAAGGGTAGACTAGAAGAGACTAGTAACAATATCAAAGGTTTAGAAACCATGACTGACATCAGAAAATTGAAAAAAATTGACTGTTTCAGCAAACATAAGACTGATAGAAGGCACGATGTTGCTGGTAAAAGTTTCAAAAGATAAGAGGAGTTCTATTTTTATATGCCCTTATACACAGTTTGCAGATGACACTAAATTGGGAAGACCAGCCAATATGCCTGAGGGCAGGGCTATCATTCAGAGGTATGTAGACACGCTCAAGGAATTCAACATTCAACAAGGACAAATGCAAAGCCATGCAGCTGGGGAGGAATAAACAGTACAGGCTGAGGGGACTGACTGGCTGGGGAGCAACTGAAAATGACCTGCAAGTCTTGGTAGACAGCAAGCCAAATATGAGCCAGAAATGTTCCCTCGCAACAAGGATGGCCACGTGATCCTGGGCTGTATTAACAGATGCACAGCCACTAGACCAAGCGATCTGTTTCCTTTTACTCAGCACTTGTTAGATCATATCTGAAGTAATACATCCAGTCTTAGGCCCCTCAAGACATCAATAAACTGGAGCAACTTTAGGAGAGGGCCACCAAGACGATCAGAGGTTGGAGCACTTGTCCGATGAGGAAAAGCTGAGGGAACCACAATTCTTCAGCATCAAGAGGAGGCAGGTGGCCCTGGGAGGACCTGAAAGCAGTCTTGTCATACCCATGAGGAAGCTGTGAAGGAGATGGAGCCAGGCTCTTTACAGTAGTGCATGTCAGGAGGATGAAATACAATGAGCATAAGTCGAAACAAGAGAAATTCAAACTAGATATAAGGAAAAGCTTTTTCACCATGAGGAGAATCAAGTAGTGGAATAGGTTGCCTAAAGACGTTGCTCAGTCTCTATCCTTAGAGGCTTACAAGAATGAACTGGATAAAGCTGTGAGGAACCTAGTCCCATCTCACAGCTGACCTTACTTTGAGCAGGAGGTTTGACTAGAGACCTCCTGAGATCCCTTCCACCCTGAGCTTGCTTACGATTCTGTGATCAATACGACACGTAGCAATAGGTTTAACTCACAGCAAGAAGATTACAGCAAGAGCACATATTAGAAAAAAAAAACATAGACAAGAATAATAGTGAAGCTCTGAAATACACCACTTTCAGGGATAGCAGAGTCACCAATACTGGAGGTTTTCTGAAGGTTGATAAAAATGAAATAGACATTACACAGGCATAGCTTCGGAGAAGGGCAACAGCTCCTACTGAGATCCCTTCAATTCCTATTTCCCCATGACAGCAATACAAATGTGTCTTTTCCTTCAATGTCATCAGCTCCTTGGCAAAAATAAGTTCTTGTTCCTTATATTTATATGGCTGCTATTAATTTCTGGGGAGCAGCTTTCATCAGTTTCTTCACGGAACTTAAGAATTATGACACCCATCTTTTCCCTTGCTATCTTTCCTCCTTTACTAATCAAATCTAATATTAAATATCCTCTTCCTTCCTCCAACTTTTGTACAATTTATTCCTTGATATTTTGCATCTCAGTTAACTACTTCTGACTATTTTTATAACTACTCAAATGCCTGTGCATACATATATTTATCTTTCATAATATAACCCTTGCTCTAGGCATGACTTACTGATGTTATTAAATGCTCAGCAGAAAAGAAGAAACTGAAGGACAGGTATTGCAAAGGTTAAAAAAAACCCAGACCTAAGGCTGAAAGCTGTAAATAGGAAAGAGCGTATGGCACGGTTCTTTCACCAGTAGTCAAGTTCTCTCACCGGCCTGCAGAAAAGCAGAGTGGACTATCTAAACCATTTTCAGCACTGAAGAGTTTAATCAGAGTTAGACTGTAAGATAAAGTTATTAGAATCTGAGCATTTAAGTTTCTAACTAATTCTTCATCAAAATGCCACTCCGCTACATGTCCTCTAGCCAACTGCAGCTTACCTACACCTTTGGAAGAAAGAGTATTCACAGTGGATTTACTGTGAAAGAAATCATTGACAAAGTTCACAGCTATAGCTCCCCTAACTTCCTTCTGTTGCCCCTCTCCATGAATTAAACATTGCCTTTAAAGTATATTCTTAACCACTCCTTTTCTGAGTCTTGTCAATATTTGCTATAGTTAAGAAACAAAGATGGCAGGTACGACATCTTAGAGATGCAAAAACAAGCAGCACGGCATCCAGGTCAAAGAATACTTCTTGCCTAAATTTTTGCCACAACAGCACTCTATAAGCAGCTTTGTATGATACAGATAATTAATGAAGGACTAATCATAACTCCATAGCTAAATTTATTCCACCTTTTTTTATTTAACATAGAAATCCCATCATTGCTTTTACAAGAACACATCCGATTTTGGACAAACTTACAGTATGTGGAGTACAGAATGAGTAGATAGTATAACAGCTGTTACTTCCCCATTATGCATGGGTAAATAAGGTGGAAAATTAGCACTGGCCTTTTTACACAAAAGTAGTACATTTCCCTGCCACAAAAAAGGTTTGAAACATATGGAAGACAACACGCCCAGAACAGCATGTTAATTCTCTAGTCTCCAGGAACACAGCAAATAGTCCCTGCTTGCATAATCACACTCTAGTAAGAGAGACATTTTGCCTACATTAGTGCATATGTGAGTGCTTTTTGTTTTGGAATTACAGAGTATTTTTAAAAATAGGTCACTGGAAACCGAGAATATTGCACAAATGATTTGCTGGTCTCTGGAGAAGGTAGAGTCTGCAGTACTCTCATTCTATTAACAAACCAATTTATGAGGTAGTGTATTCCAGCTCTTAAAGATACTTTAAATTAGATACTTGGGTAGGGGCAGCAATTACAGGTAAGAGATGGGAGCAGTTCTGAAATACTTGCCATGCAAACAGCAGCAGAACTTATTACGGAAGTTTTGTAACCAGGCAATATATTCACACTAGACAATCAGCATTTAAAAGGTGTCAAGTTAATGTCAAGATTTGTCACAATGAAAGCTACAGACAACACTAATTAAAACCATATGTTTTATTCTTCAGGTTTATCCTCAGCTGCCCTCGTCCTATGACTGACTTTAGCAGGAAGGAACGACATTAACTTTCAAATTTTCACTAATATTCATGAAACGTGTCAGACTAAAATTCTAAAATATTTTTTTCTAGTCACAGAATATTTATTTTCACAAAGAGTAACTTCATTATGAGATCTTGCACATCTGCAGAAATGCTATTTTTACAGGTGAAAACTGTTTACAGTCTACATATACTTAACCACTGTTGCCTTTGCTGATACTGAGGATACGGTCACTCAAATACATGCAATTGAGTTGCCATAATTGAATGACTTACTGTCCCTCAGCTCAGCTGTGGTAACCGGCTATATGACTACTCTTAGCCCCTCTCAATTCCGAGATAAATGTGTCAGTTTATTAGCACCTTTCATTTATAAATATCAACAAGCTGTTTCCCCCCTCCCCCCAGCTTGCAGAGTTCTTCTGACCCTTCAGTGAAATTCAGCTGCCAAGATGAGATGCAGCACCTATACTGTTCTGGATGAGCAACACCAGCGGAAAAAACAAAGG